CACCCTCGTCCTTGGGCTCCTGCGCTCATCCTGGTACCTGGCTTTGCGTTTCCTGGCTCCCTGCCAAGCCTGCCAGTCCCTAGGGGCTCACTTTGCTGCCTTGAGTCTCGCTCTCTGTCACCAGCTCTGACTTGTCCCCAGCCAGTTGAAGCAGTATGTTTCATTAAACTTCCTCTAAGTGTGGAGAAGGCTCCAGAGGCAACATACCTACCTGGAGTGTGCCTCCAGGTGTCCCAGCTTAGGGGGACAGATGTGTTGGCAAAGTTAGCCGAGAAGGTAAATTAGATTAGAGAATTCTGTTTCTTATTTATTTCAACGGGGAGTCAGAGAGAGTATTTGACCAGGAAAATGTTGATGCAATTAAAGTAAATTGATGAATGTAGAATTTAAAAGTAATATTATTTCATTATGGTAAAACATTAACAACGATCCTCAAATTATTCCATTAAAAACCTGCTCTACCCAAATCATAAAGCACTGGATTACAAAAACTGAAAGTAGAAACCTACCACAGACCATCACAGTCTAACATGGCTCTAGCAAAAGCAGGTTCCCAGCATGACTGAGGGGGATTTGACGAGAGCAGGAAACCCCCACATGGCTGACATAGCCCTAGTAATAGTGATTGCCTGCATGACCCTAACAATAGTGAATGCCCAGCGTGGCCTGGGGTGTCCCTAGCAATAGTGGTATTTGGTGAGGCTCATGGTAGCCCTAGCAGTAGTTGGTGCCCCACTGGCCTCGGGAGGCCCTAGTGACAGGAAGATCATCTGCCTTCTGTGAGCGCAACAGACATCCTGCTTTTAATTGATGCTCATTCCTTCCATACCCTCCTCTGACAGTACCCTCACTCTCTTGGCCATAGTCCCCTGTTAAATCCTCCCCGTTATTTAAGAGTCAGCCTGATGTTCTGTCCTCCAGGAAACACCCACATCCCCAGCTTGAAGCGCTTGGAACCTCTGTTCACATCCATCTTACATTGTGGCTACTGCCATGTTTCTCTCCTGTTAAACTGTCTTCTACATCTCTGTGTCCACCCACCTGTCAGCCCTGAGCCAAGGGTCTAGTGAATATTCAGGAAGTTTCCAGCATAGCTGAGCCCTGGAAATCAGGAACCTGACTCTCAGAGGTTCCAGCCCCATGCTACGTTCACTGCCATGTTGCCTGCCCTTTAAGGCGTAACCAGTCTCTGCTTCCTCTTCTCCTCAAAACTCAGGTGGAGGTCTTGGCCATATGAGGCCAGCCATCTTGAGATAGGAAAAGGGGGCAAGCAGCATGCCACATACCCTCCAGAAGCTTCTGCTAGGAGGCGGTGCTGTCGCAGCTGCCGGGGTTCCACTACTGCTCCCATAGCATTGGTCAACTGGGTGGGAGGAGGGTGAGCAGACCACCTCCAGGAGAGGCCACCGCAAACTCCACCCACACCACTGTCCTCAGGTCAGATGGATGGCCCTCCATCCCGGGGCAGTGAGCATTTTGAATGATGGAGGAAAGAACCAAATGAATGAGCCTCCTTATTGCTGCAGTTACTCCCTATAACTTTGAACATTGCTCTTGCTCTCCTGAGCCTCCTTGGCTTTACCAAAGTCCACCTCCTGATCCTCAGGGGTCCACTTCAAGACCTCAGTGGAGGCCCGAATCCTCCAGGAATACTGAGCCTGTAGGTAGTCCTGCTTTCCTCTATCCATACCGACCTACGATAAAGTCTGATTTATAAGTGAGGTATTATATGAGATTAACAGCAATAACTAACAGTGAGCTAGAACAGTTAGGAGAATATACTGCAATAAAAGTTATGTGGATGTGGTCTCTCTTTCTCTCTGGAATTTTCCATTTAATGTTTTCAGGCCATGGTTGATCATAGGTAATGGAAACCCCAGGAAGTGAAATGTAGGTGAGGGGGGTGGCTGTAGAACTTTCTTACTTCTCCTTTCTGTGGTGGTAGCACAGCGGTGCCCATCCTGCCACCCACCTGAACACCTGAGGCGAGGCTGCAGTGCAAGGCTCTGTGCGTGACCCAGCTTACCCCAGGGCCAGTGGGACACAGATGCAGGGGCAAGAGACAAGCTCTTTGCTTACCAGCAAGTGAAGACTGCTTCAGGGAAAACCTTGTGCTTTGGGGGTTACTTGCTGATAGAGCTGAAGGTGACAGTTCCAGACGTTGCCCTAGCACCCTGGGAGGCTCCCCTTCCCAGCACAGGCGGCAGGACCAGAGAGAGCCGTGCCACATCCTGGCTCAGCCTACAGCACCCAAATTTTCAGGGCCTTTCGAAGTAAACAGCCAGAATTCCAGAAAATTCTGGAAGCCTCTGGAAATTTCATTAGAGGTATCAGATGCAAGATGCCTCTGAAAGTCCCTGAATGCTCTCTGTCTTTGCCTTGATGAAGTCCCTCTCCAAGGTTATGCCAGTGCCGTGGCAAGGATGCAGGAGCCAACCCACCAAGGGTGGGAGCAACACAGCTCTGTCATGGCACCATCCTCCTCTGCATGAGGCATGCAGGACAGGTCTCAGCTTTGCACCACAACCTTTCTGTGCCACCTTTAAGTGCTATGTGGGGGCAATCTACAAATCAACAATTTCCGGGTGTTCTGGCCAAAAACACTTTTGAAAAACAATTTCATGCATTAAAAAAAAAATTCCGGCTGATATTTGTGGCTTCTTATGCTGCAAATGTTCCAGTGGGAGAACAAAAAGAAACTGACTGAACTGTGGCACCATTGGCTCCCAGTTGCATGCACTGAACAGGCAAGGCTTGCATTCGGGACTGGGAACAGCAGGACCTTCCTGAAAGTCAAGTTCTCCTGTCGAGCTGGCAGCTCAGCAGCTTTCAGGAGCCAGAAAAAATAAGTCCCCAAACTGACAGGCTTTGCTCTGTGTTTACATTTATTTCTCTCTTCCCTGCTTGTGTAATCAACAAAAAAGTCTTTGTTACCTGCAGTATTTTTATGGAACAAGAGCCCTGTGCTTCAGCATAGCTGGCAGCTGCACAGAAGCATCTCAATTGCCCAAGATGCACCAGGGGCCCTAGTCCAGTGCGTCAGCCCTAGCCAGGAGGCACGCGGGCCCCAGGCACTGGGGCTGCCTGGAGCTCACGGGATCCTACCAGTTCCTGCTGATAGACATCCTAGTCCAGGGCTGTTGGGACTCTGGATTTAGCGAAGTCTGTGGAAAGAAAACCTTGGGGTGTTTAGCGGGGGAGTCCTAACCCACCACCAGGGTAATGGCCGTGCTCAATTTTGCCTTTCACATTTTAATTGTACAACAGTAATTTTGCAATAGAGTTGCCGATGGCAAACATGCAAAAGACATTAACTTTATTTATGTTTTGGATTATTAATGTGGCTGTTAAAATTCCTCCAGTTAGTTTTGATTGAATTGTTTTTTTGTGTGATTCTGTTGTTTAATGGAGCGGTAAATAAGAATTTCTGATAATGAGGCTGAGCATCTGTCACAACAACCTGGTGTGGGTTATTAACATTTCCATTAACGGCAGGGTGGGCAGTGATAATATGGAAACCACACAGTTAGAACAAAATAAATAGTTGGTGTCAGGCTGAGCGGGTGTTAATTACTATTTTATTCTACATTGGGGGGAGAGAGCAGAAAGTGGGGAGGGGGACCTGGGAAGGGGTGATTGATGAGGTCATTCTCTCCCCAGAAGGCTTCTCCAGAGCCCAGGTGCCCAGACATCTCGGACAGTGACTGTTTTGTTGTCTCTTTATGGCCTATAAGCAGTCCTGAATCAAAAGGCAGCTATGTTTTGGGTCTGCAGGTCAAGGCCATAGGAAGTGAGGTGGGGGGGCTTGGCCTTCCAGAGCTGGGAACCCAATATAACTCCACACAGCTCCTCAGGGTCCAGCACGGCCCAGATTCCTACCCGGAGTGCCCAGATGGGAGAAGGGAGTAAGTCCTAGGAGGAGGCAGTGAACAGACCATCATGAGAAAGTACTCTGCATGGAATTCAGAAATGGTGTGAAGCCAGCAAAATATAGAGAGACTAGGAATGTTCCAGAATGTGCATGTGCTCTGTGCATTGTTCACAACTCCCTAATGGTTGCATTAGAGGTGCAACCATGCTGTCCCCCATAGAAATCTCATCTTTCTCTCTCTCTTTCTTTCTTTCTTTATTATTTCTTACATACATCACAATAGAGGAGTGTATTACATTCATAATCTTTTGCATTGCAATTCTTAATACACCTTTATACCACAATTTATCAAATCTCTGTATATAAGGTATGTTCTCATCTTCTGCATACTATGTGCACTGAGGGGATACCCCAAGGAGACCCTCCCATGGGAAAGAGGGGGAAAGGGGCAATGACTTGGTGCTTAGAACTTGCAAATTTCGAGAGCCTCAGAGAGCAATGTGGAGCCACATTCCCAGGAAGCTGGTCCCATCAGCCTGGAGGAGCACCTCTGTGTGTCCAAACTCTTCTGGTCTAGGATAGACTTCACACTGGGCCACCTGTATTTGCAACAGCAATACAAATATCTTTTTTTCCCCTAAAACCTCTTCAAAAATCAGCATTTCCCCCAATGAGGAATGTCATCAGTGCCTGTGGCTCCCTTGCTCTCAGAGCCATAGGCATCTCTGGCCACACTCCAGGTGCTACTGGAATCAAACCACTCCTGAGCATTATCCCAGAACCCATGGATTCCTATATCCTATGTTTATTTTCAAATCCTCAGTAACTCTATCTCAGTGAGATCAGTCTTCTTTGTAATTTTGTATGTTACTTTATGCCTTTAAGTATGTTTTTCTGGAAGGGTTTGCAGCATCCCCTGGCATGAAAGGACTAGGAACTAACTTCAGAGGCAGGAGCCTGGAGCTGGGATGTGACTGTACCCTAGGTCTCCCAAGCCAGAGCAATGTCCCGACAGAATCTCCCATGCTGCCATCATGGAATTAGGGCTTGCATGAGTCCTGGGGGGTGGGCGGGGGCTCAGCTTCTGAAGGAACGTGCTAGGTACCATCATGTGCTATTCTTTCCTCAGCTCCAGCGATGGCCCCGCAGAACATCCAGGTCACCCCGCTCACGGCCAGCCAGCTGGAGGTCATGTGGGACCCACCGCCCCCAGAAAGCCAGAATGGGAACATCCAGGGTTACAAGGCAAGCTCTCACGCATGGGTTGGCTCTTTTTTCCAGCTCACTTGTTGGCGGTATGAGGCCCCAGGGCTTCAGCTGGAATCCTGCTCCTCCCCAGGGCTGTGCCCTCAGCTCACTGGGTCCTGCTGTTTTCTCAGTGGCAAATACACAGCAGGCGGGAAGCTGCTGCCTTGAGCATCTGGAACAGGCCTGGCTGGACCACGGCCTGGGATCAAAGCTGCCTGGGGTGGGAAGTGGGCCTACTGCTGCTTTGCGACTACAAGGTGGGGGGTTCCTTGGCTTATCCAAAGGTGGCCTGGGTTTGTCCCTCCTCCAGCCTCTGTGGCCTGCCCAGAGAACCCAACTTCTTCCTGAGCCCACTCTGGAGCCACCAGCGGATTTGCTGACAGTGACAGGAAATGAGGTGTCCTCAAAATAGCAGGTTTTCCATCCCTCAGTGCACTCAATCACTATGGGACATTGAGTAAGTCCCTCAGTTCAGTAGGTCTGGGCAGGGCCTGAGAATGACATTTCTAACAAGTTCCCAAGTGGCATGGATTTGGGGAACCTCACTTTGAGAACCACATAATGAGGTCCAAGTCATCATTAGCTAAATGTTTCAGAGATGGAGGAAAAGAAAAGACAGCATCCTGTTCCACCATAAGCCCCGGGGACAGGGGGTGGGTTACACAGAGTCAGTTTGCCCAGGGCACCTTGAGCTCTTGGCTGCTAAGGTCTCATCTGCTAGGAGAGCTTGGGACCCCTGGACAGCTGTGAAAACCGTTCAGAAGAAAAAAAAAGAAAACCCTGTTCTGTTCCCTGAAAATGCCCCATCCTTCTCTAGAATTAATTTCCTTGTCTGGCCTGCTGGAGCCCCAGTTGATCAGTTACCAGATTCTATGGTTTAGCCTGCCCTGATGCCTATTGGACCAATTAAATGTCCATTTAAAAATGATTCTTGTAGGTGTTTTATGAAAATTAATACCTTCCTCCCTGGCAGGGCTGTTACAATGATTAATGAGGCAATGGCAAGTCCTGTGAGCTCGGAGGCAAGGTGCTATTTATGTATGTCCAAAATATGTTTTCTCATTTCCTTAATGATAAAGACATTGAACTTGGATATTGATCTCAAGTTAGCAAGGCCTGTGTGAGTGAAGGATCCTCTTTGGTCAGCTTTGCAAGCAAATGTGTCTTGCAGGTAGAAATCAGTGGTGCTCACGTGTCAGGACCTGCTTCAGCAGAGATGTGACTTGTGCACGTGCAAGGTGGGATACTGGCCCTGGGCTCCCACTGCCCCCTGCATCCTCTGTGCCGCTCTTGCACAAGGTGTAGCGCTCACAGGGCCTGGCTCAGGCTTAGTTCTTCAGAGCCAGGGTGGATCTTCTGGCCTGTGTTGTCTTTGGGCAGCCCAGCTGGCACTGGCTGGGGCAGTGGTTCCTGGCCAGCTGTCTAGGGAAGTAATTCTGGCAACCAATTCAAACTTTTATGCTTGGGCATCAAGTTCACCTAGGAGCACATCAAAGCTAGCTGAGAAGAAGTGGAACCCAGGAGAGGTACAGGGTTTTACCCCAGTTCTAAGTCCAACATGGCTCTACTTCCTGGGGTTTTTTTTAGTGTTTTAATGTCCAAAGTATTTTTTCACATTGATCAAAAAATTAGATCTCAATTTTGAACAAAATGTGGTCACATGGAAGAGTTTGAGGGCTCATTATTTCCATAGGTTGGAGCAGGAGGTAGACTGTCTCCAAAAGACTGAAGGGCCCAGCAGAGGCCTTGGTACAGGCCCCAGCAGGGCAAGCTTTATAATCTAGGCACCAACAGGAGACTGAAGGAAAGAACCCCTCCTACCCTGAGACCCCATCTTGAAAGGTTTGAGTAGGCAGCGCTCACTGTCTAGATGAGCAACTCAGAAACACCAAACTTTGCCCAATGACATCAGCAGTCAGAGACCTTCACCTGCCCATAGTCACCCCTGGTCCCTTGGGGGAAGATGCCCCATCCTGCAGGACTCTTCCCAGGACGCAGGCCCAGCCTCAGGAGCTGATCCTACATGCAGCTTCCTCACGCCCCCGCCTTTCCCGGTGTCCTTTCTAACAGATCTACTACTGGGAGTCAGACAGGCGGAACGAAACAGAGAAAATGAAGGTCCTGTTCCTCCCCGAGCCCACGGTGAAGCTGAAGAACCTGACCAGCCACACCAAGTATATGGTCAGCATCTCCGCCTTCAACGCTGCTGGCGACGGGCCCAAGAGTGACCCTCGGCAGGGGCGCACCCATCAGGCTGGTAAGTGGGCCGTTTCCTCTCTGCAGGCCTCAGTCACCAACCTGTGTCACTTCCCTGGTGGCTCTGGGGACCCCCAGGCAGAATAAACCACCCTTTCCTTTGGTTTCACAGCTCTTTGCTCTGCCTTTCCTGTCACTGGTGTCACCTTGTGTAGTAGGAATTTGAAGCGACAGGACTTGGTTCCTGGTAGCTGGCCTCGCCTGGTCCATGGTGGCACTAAGCCACAGTTAATAGTGGAGCAACGCGTGTTCCCTCCTGAGCCCTGAGGGTGGCAGGGAAGGAAGGGCTTTGCCCTCAGTCTAGCCTCATTTCTGACCTACAGGCCACACGGCATTGCCTGTGGAAACTTCTCATTGGAGCCACCCCCTTTGTGTGGACCCCTGGGGCCGAGCTTCTTGTGCATCAAAGCCAGGCTCCAAGTCTAGGTCTCCCTGGTTTTGGGTCCATAGAGCACCCCTGGAGTAGCTTGGTAGCTGCCTCTCAGCACAGGTGCATAGACAGGGTCCACGCTGACAAGGCTGTCCTTAAGGCCTCGCCCCATGTAGAGGGTACAGTGTATGGCTAGCAGGCCACTTCCCTAGCGAGTTTTGGCTTTTGGTGGTGGAAATCAAAGATACCCCCAAGAAATAGTGAACTAACATTAAGATCCAAAAATTTCTCAGAGACCCTTAATGAGACCCAGGAAGTCCAAGACCAGGAAAATGAGATTCGGGAACCTTTGGGGTACAAAGATGCAGGGCTTTGGGCTCCCTGACATTCTGTGGGTTCAGCCAATTAACACCCTATCCAAATGATCAACCCCTAATCAGGGGCCCCAGGCCCACATCCTGTGAGATTACTATGCCCAAGTTCAAGAGCTGCTTCCTTCTGCCCCCATCCAGTACCCAAGGAGGCCAGTTTTGAAATCTGAGATGGAAGGACATGAAAAGATTTGTAGGGCAGAAAGTAGAGGCTGGGGTTACCTTGGGACACCAGGACTTGGTAGTCATGGGACTGAAGGACCCAGAATGGGAGGGAAGAGGGATCTGCTGCTCCAGGAGGCCCTCTGAACAGCAGGGTGCTGGTGGAGGAGATGAAGCACCCACCCAGCCTGTCAGGCAGGGCCAGCCCCGTACATGTCCACCTGCATGCAGCCTAGGCAGAGATATGTGAGCAAACCCCCACCACCCTGGCCACACTCCTGGCCTCCCATGTCTGCCAGCAACTCCCCTGTCAGCCCAGCAGGGCCCACTGAGACCACAGTGTCCGGGGATTCAGATGGAGGCACGAGGGTATCCTGAATGGTCCCCAGGAAAAGGGAGAGGCCAGGTGGGGAGAGGCCATGTCCACTGCAGAACTCCCTCTCCCCAAAAGAGCAGGACAAGGACCTTGGGCTAGCAGTCGTGGGAAGTGGACCGTCTGCATTTCATTTTCTGTTTCCATCTGTTATTCATTTTTAGGCCTCTGTCAGTTCGCCTCTCAAGTTCCTTTGTGTTTCAACTCTGTCATTTTCTCTGCTCTTCTCGGGAGGGTCTGTGTTGCTGATTGATCCTAGGAAGTTCAGAGGTGATCAATGAGTCTCCTTTTCATCCTGTGGCATTTAGACTTTTACTGAGTTGAAAATAACACCTAATAACATTTTCTCTTCTTTGTGGAGGCTCAGACACATACGTGCGATCCATAAAGGTATTTTAGAGTCACTTTGTGCTCTGTTCTTCCAGCTCCTGGGGCCCCCAGCTTCTTGGCGTTCTCAGAAATAACCTCCACCACGCTCAACGTGTCCTGGGGAGAGCCGGTGGCAGCCAATGGTGTCCTGCAGGGCTATCGGGTGGTTTATGAGCCCTTGGCACCTGTCCAAGGTAAGATCAGGGGGAGCTGGGGAGGGTACCAGGTCTACCACCTGACCTTGCTTTCAGCCATGGAGTCTTCCAGAAGCTCAGAAAGGGAAGGAAAGGCTAATCTGAGATAGGCTCCAAGTTCAGAGTCCAATGTGATGATTTCCCTATGGAACCATGTTATATGCTCCCTTAACTAGTCTCCAAACCCCATGACGGTTCTATCTTATTCCTCCTGAGAGCTGAGTCCCTGTGGTGGCCCATAGAGACCACCCCAAGCTCCACCTGGAACCCCGTTGGCAGTGTTGGCCCTTTGGATATCATGCGCATCCTAGAAGAGACATTGAGAGTCCAGGGTCCCAGGGTAGTGCTCTGGTGCTCCCTGTCATTCTTTTGTGTCTCAACAAACATTCATCAAGTACCTGCAGTGTCTCCAACACTGTTCTGAATGCTGGAGTCCATGGGCCCAGGAAAGCAAGTGTCTTGACTCAGACCCTTGTCTTGCATTGAGATCCTTGTTTTCCTGAGTCTGTTGCCGAAAACTCAGTCCTTGTCCCCAATACCAATCCAATACCAAGGACACAGTTTAGAGAAAAAGGAAGAAAAAAGGTTTAGTGCTTTGTTAGCAAAGGAGAAACACAGGACACTCTTGTCCCAAAGGCTATGATTCTGCCCATCTGCAGGAACAGGGTGCTGTTAAAGAGGTGACTAAAAGGCTGCCTTCCTGTGTTCTCTGCTTGAGTTGTAATTCACTTGTTAATTTGGGAGATAGTCATTTCTGAGATCTTCTGGTGAAAAAGATCACAAACACCATCCCCAAAGTCTGGATGACTTTGTTCCTATGGTGGGTGTGTACTCAAGGACAGATAAATCTGCCTAGGATGGGGAAGAAAGTTAATCCTGTTTCCCCTGAGATCAGGGAGGGGGAGAGATTAGGAGGGAGCAGGGAGAGCGGAAGAGAAAAAAACATGTCCATTTTAAAAATAAGTTGCAATGGCAGAGAAGCAAAAGTCATATTCAAAGCATAAAGTGCACCACGGCTACAAGTCCAGCAAGTTTATATTCCAGGCGTACAGAGGCAACTTGCAAATAATTAAACCAACAAGCAAAACTGAGATGGTAATTGATGCTGTGAGGTAAAGAAGCCAGGAGCACATGAGGATGTTGCATGTCAAGAAGGACCTGGGCACACACGTCTGAGGTGAACCTTCCTACAGAGGACTCACAGACCCTGGGGGAGACAGGGCTTAGTGTCCTGCGTGACCTGGGCTGAATGAGGGAACATGTGGCAGGCCAGAGCTGGTTGAGAAGGTCTGGATTTTCCTAGGGAATGTGCTGTAGTTTGGATCTAGAATGTTCCCCCAAAGGCTCATGTGTTGGGTTCTTAGTGCAGCAGTGTTCAGAGGTGGGGCTTCTGGGAAGAGATTGAGTCATGGGAGTTCTGATCTCATCAGTGGATTAATCCATTGATGATTCATAGCTGAATGGATTATTGGGGGAGGGGTGGTAGAAATTAAGAGGTGGGGTCTAGGTGAAAGGACTAAGTCTTTGGGGATGTGCCCTTGAGGACTATCTTTTATCCCTTGCCCCTTCCTCCTCCCCCATTTTTCTGCTTCCTGACTGCCACGAGATAAGCAGCTTTGCTCCTCCCCACCTTCCCCACCATGATGGTCTTTCTCGCTACAAGTCCACAGCGATGGAGCCAAGCACCTGCAGACTGAAATCTCCCAACCATAGACCAAAATAAACCTTTCCTCTTTAAGTTTTATCTCAGGTGTTTTGTCACAGTGATAGAAAACTGACTAACACAGAAGGAAATGGAGCAAGAGGACCTGAGTGACACAAGGCCCAGATCCCCCCGGCTAAATACTGCAGTCTAAATACCACAGGATGAAAAGAGGATTATTGATCACCCCAGAACTTCCCGGATCAATCAGAAGCAGACCCTCTGGATAGTGAGGAGGGAGTGTTTGAACACAGAGGAGCTTGGGAGAAGAAATGACAAAGCTCAAAAATGAATAGGTGGAAACAGAAGATGGTGGGCAGACGGCTTTGGGGAGAGTAGGTTGCAGGGACCCCACAGGAGCTCCGCAGTGGAAGAGCAGGCAGGGGCTGTGGCAGAGCCCACGAGAGCCTGGAGGAGACAGATGATGGAGGGAAAGGTGAGCGGCGGTGGGTTAGGGCTGTGTTTTGAAGGAGACATAGATTGCCCTTGGATTGGAGGCAAGGACAGGAGCTGGGAGTGAATGGTAGGCTCTCACTCCATGGCGGTCACTCCTGTTCCTACACTGATAAAGCGAGACCTGCCTCTGGTATCTTCTCGGCCATCTCCTTCATCTACTAGATGACTGATGTGTACACGTCCACTGAGGGCCCATGACATTTCTCTCACCTCAGAGTCAAGCCCAGCTGTCTTTGCCCAGTGGCCCAGGGCAGGTTCCCCTGGTAATATATACAGACAGACTGTAAAAATTATAGATTATTGAATGTCTAGGAGAAAAAATATAACCAGCATATCAAATAATATTGGCTCTCCATTTAAAGCAGTGATAAAAGTTTCCTTTTGAAATAAGCACATTCAGATAAAACAGGGACTTGATTTGAAGGAGGACATTTAAGCACTAGATTTTATTTCATCGAAAATAAGATGCCATTGATGTAAGATTCATAGTTATTTTATTACATGCTAAGAAAGAAAAAATACTCCTAATAAACTATAGCCCAATACTTGTGTGTCATCTATTCTAAGCTGCATCCCAGAGATGTGAAAATGTGAGAAAGAAAAACAAAATGTATCTGAGATCATCGCTGTGTCTGACAGTGATGTGAACACAGCGGAGGCGATCAGGAACGTGGTTCTGAAAGTACAAAGAGAGCCCCAGAAGGACGTGGACTTGGCATGGTCCCTGCTCAGTGTGTTCTTTCCACAACGCAGCACCCGTCTGGGAACATGGTGGCCTTGGTGTGGCCATCTTCAAGGACCCAGTGGCAGATGTCCAGGAGGGGACCTGCCCATCATTCCTGTGTACTCTGCAGGGAGAAGTAGCAGAGAATTTCCATGTTGCTTGGCAGTGTTTTCTTTCCCTGACACACCTCTGCACACACAGGCGCACACACGCACGCACGGTGTGTACATTGGTTCACGTGCACAAGGAGCCCAAGTTACAAATACTTTTCCGAGGATATCATCAAAATAATGAGAAATGATTGTCAAAACCTCATGATTCTAATTGAGTCCTTCCTTATCAAAAGAGCGTAAGTTCGCCATTCTTCCTGTCCTGTGTTGGCGGCCTTGCAGGGTCTCTAGAAAGCCCCTGGCATGCACACCTGGGCTGCAGCTCGTGGTCCGTAGCCCTCCAGGCAAGACGGGTCCCAGGATCATTCCTCAGTCAGAAACGCGGCACGGGGACTCGAAGCGCACTGTGTTCTTCTGGCTTCACTTCCACGCTGCCAAGATTGGTCCTGGTTTCTACACACTGTCCCCACCCCAACCTCCCAGGGAGGTGACCCCACATTGCCGATTCCCCTTGTATGACCAAGTTGCAGTTTCTCATTAATTTTCATAATTTTTGTCTTATCGGGAAAGTCGAAGGCATTCCAGAATGTGCTGTTGGGGGATTGCGCTCCTAGTGTGTGGCACATTGGTGGCTTGCCATGTTCCCCTGTAGAAATGCCCTGCAGGCTCACTCACAGCGTGGGTTGGTTTACTGAGCAGTCACTATGAACTGGGCACTGCGCCACATCCTTGCCATTCACCATCCATAAATCTTCATGACAACTCTACCCTGAGCTGCCGCCTGGATTCCCAATTCACAGACCAAGAAACTGGGCCCAGAACCCTTGGTTTGTTTGCCCCAAACCTGAATTTCGAGGATGATGAGGAAGGTGGGATCTGACACGAGAGCCCAGCTCTAGACAGCCTGTGATGGGGAGAAGATGCCAAGCGCTTGTGTTCCTGAAGGCGAGCGTGACGGAGGGCGCCAGAGATGGAGCTCGGGGAGGGTGCACTCAATCATGTCACGTTCCAGACAATCTCAGCTACATGCCATGTGTGGGGTTGTCACTCCTCCGAGTGACAATGGGTAGGATAACTCAGTTACCACCATCTCGCCTCTTTTCACAAGTCATAGACCGTCCTTCTCGGGAATTATCTGGTCTGTTGACAAGGACTGGCTGGCTCCTAGGCCTGTCATCCTGGCTTTGGCCCTGAGGGCTTTGTGCTCCGAAGCTGGAGCCGGGAGGGACAGCTCTCTGGTGCTGTGGCTCCCCATCACTCCACAGGTTGCAAATGCGGGACTCTCAGCACAGACAGCTCAAGAACAAACCAGGATTCCCAGATTCGGAGCCACTGTAGCTTGGGCACAGTCCTGACTTCCTGATTCCTGTGTATCTACCACGGCTAACCCAGGGCCTAGCTGCCCATCCCTGAGAGTGGCAGGAAGGGTCCAGCCCCAGCTCTGTTGCAGGCAGCTCTGCCTCTAAGCAGCGACTCTTACCAAGTCAAAGGGCCCCGCCAGGCTCCTCCACTCCACAGGCCAGCCCAGCCCACAGCTGCTCCTGCTTCAGCCGAAGACTTCTCCTGGCTTTCCTGGCAGGCTGTGGACAGGCTGCTCTCTGGGAACAGAGCTCACCAACCCCTCCCAGCACCACCTGGTGGCCCTGTGCTCTTCAGGGGAAGCCCCCACCCTCACCCTGGTGCCAGCAGAGCTTCTAAGACTCAGTCACTCACCTGCCTGGGCTAGCAGTTCCTTCTAGGACCCTAGAGGAGCCAGTCCCAGGCCTGCCTGTGAACCACATCCTGCAGCCACGAGACACAGAAGATGGCAAGTGGGACTGAATCTGGCCTGCCATGAGTGCACCCTGTCCAGAGGCACATGCAGCAGCCACTCAGGAAGAGCCCTGAGGGCCAGGTGGGCCATGGGCAGGCAGCCCTGTTGTCACCTCGGCAGCACTGCCTACACTTCCTCGGGCCAGTGGACATCAGTGATCACGAGGCAGGCAGAGATCAGAGAGTCCGCTCGTGGGAAGCCCTCCGTCCTTCTGCTGCCCTGGGGACTCTGCAGCCATGCGGACGCGCCAGCGCTGGCCTGCCGAGAGAACTCTCGGTGTCTTCACTGCCTCAACTGATAGGATGTGGAGGAGACCACAGGGTATCAGCCGCCCCCAGCTGAAACTGACCTTGAGATCCAGACACAGACCCGTGCCCACCCGGATCAGCCAGCAGGAGCACAGCTAATTCCAATGGCGAGTTTTTAAGCCACTAGTTTGAGGCATGGTTTTACCCACAGTCATGTGTAAGAGGGACAGTGGACAAGGACTCCATAGATCACAAAGGTCCTATAAGTTAGTGTGCTCTTCAACGACAGAACCCATGTGGATCCTTCCCATGCGTTTGATGTGTCAGCCTCGGAGCAGACAGGGAAACTGAGCACTCCTCCGAGACCGAGGGCCTCGGCCAGTGGCACAGGAGTAAGTGACAGACTGAGGACTCACTCCAAACCCCCAGCTCTCCGGATGCTCCTACTGACTGACTGCAGATTTCAGAGAGGACCAGCTCTTGGCAAAGCCTTGGAGCCAGAAACCCTTGTCCCCATGGCCCCTCTCTGCCCTCAGGCACGCTGGGCATTTTGACTACGGGGGCTGGAAAAGGCAGGATATAAGATGATGCTGTGATGCAGCTGAAAAGCACCGGGTTGCCAGGGGCTGGGGTCATGGTCAAGAGGTGGATGGGTAGAAGGCAATGATTGCTGAAAAGCAGAGCGGCTTCCTGGACCTCAGAAGGTCATATCATCTGGTGTCCTCGCCGCCTTACTCTGCCCAAGCTGTCCCAAGTCTCGTCACCCTGGTCAGTCTCTCCCCTTGTTGGTCAGCTCCCCCTTGAGCTGGTCAGGGACTGGGAGGCCAGGATCCCAGGACAGGTGTGCCTTTCTATGGGCTCTCTTGGAGAAACCCCACCCTCACCCCTTATCTCTTGGATTCTGGATTTCCAACAGGGAACTAGGAAAGTAGTAACCTGATCTCTGTATGATTTTTTAATGTTTTAAAATGCCTCGTAGGAGCTAAACATTTCTCAGAGACATGCTTGCAGATGTAATGAACACCAGGAGGCTTTGTTTGAGGCTACAGTTATATTCACTCTCTGCACAATGGCAATTCTCTTGTGAAGATTGGCAGAGATACGTTTACATGCATGTGTGCACAATTGTAAACTATCTACCTGAAGTTTGTTTTGGAAACAAAAATTTTCAATTTATGGTAATGATCGCTTTTTTGAAAATACAAAAAAGCTGTCCAATAGCAATCTCATCTGTTGGTGTTTCTTGGTGGGATGCTCAGACCTGTCATTTACAGACAATGGCAGGCACTGACCAGGATGGCCACCCCCTCAGGAAAGCAGACCTGGCTCAAACCTGTGTGTGGAGATGCAGCCCGAGGCCATCCCTGACCAGTCCCTGGTCTCTGCAAGGAGCACCATGCCACCCACCCACACGCCCTCTAGAGCACAGAACCACCTAGAACACTGTGCCATTTGAGCACTGAGCCATGATGTTCTTGGGCATCTGGTTTTACGGCAGAGCTATTTTTATGTTTTTAAAAATGTTTTAAACAGTAGTATTTTATGGGATCGCACCCTGAGGCTTTATAGTGCAGGGCATGGCTTAAAAATTGACTAAATAAATAAAATTCTGACACATTTGAGACGGAGGGAAGGCCAGACTGGCTCTACCTCCTAGTGGGATAGAATTTACAAAATCTGTACATGGGTTTGTTTTTGCTCTAGGGAGAATGAAGGCATTTTTAAACAACCAAAAAAAGAATTGCTACCAGAATAACTCTACATCTGACAGGACCCTTTTCATTTGCAGATGACAGTTAGGGTTGTGGGTGGTTGTCCTTGAATCCTCTTTCTGGAGCAGCATATATAAGGCTGGGGTCAGGCTCTCTGGGCAGAAGAAGCCCCATTTTTCTATAGAAAACCCCATTTTGGAGGGTCAATCAAAAACAGTGAAGGTACACTAAAATAATTTGGAAGAAAATAATTTAGCAGAATAAATGTTTTATAGAAAGCATAATATGAAACCAGTGAACCAGCTAAAAGGCAGACAGAACCTCAGAGAGGTGTTGAACTCTACCACATGTCCTCTGCACCAAGGCCAGCGCCTGGAGTGCTGTGTTGGGGAATGCCAGGGTGGGCTGCTGGACCCAGGGCAGGAGGCATGGTCCTCCAAGTGCACCTCTTCCCCGTGCTCCATGGGAAGCAGTTCTGCTGAGCAGTAAGGCATGGAAATGCAGCATCCTTACCTCCTCCTCCAACAACTGCCCAGTAGATATTAGTCCACCCAGAGCTCTGAGAAATCTGTGGTCAGGAACTTGATTAACTAGTTTAAAAAAAAAAAAAAAGGCACCATTTTCAAACTTACTTAACCATAGGACCCCATTTTCCCTTCTGGAAAATGCTAAATTTATTTAATTTTCAGTATTTATCCTTCCCCTAAATGTTAAATCTCAATTTTCTAATTATACAGTAATCTTCCTTATCCACAGTTTTGCTTTCTATGGTTTCCATTAACCAAAGCCAACTGCAGCTTGAAAATAATAAATGGAAAATTTGAGAACTAAACAATTTGTAAGTTTTAAACTGTGTTCCATTCTGAGCAGTGTGGCACAATCTCACACCATCCTACCTTGCCCTGGCTAGGATGTGAATCAGCCCTTAATTCAGTGTATCCACACTGTATGTGCTACCCACCTGTTAGTCACCTAATAATGGTCTCGGTTATCAAATCAACTGTCACAGTGTTACAGTATTTGTGTTCAAGTAACCCTATGCTACTTAGTGATAGCCTCAAAGTACGAAAGCAATGGTGCAAAGGAGGCATGGGCATAAAACATGAGGGACAGATTAATTCTCATACTAAGTGGCAGTGCTGCAGGATACTAGGAAAATACCTGGTGTATATGGGGTTTGATACTATCCACAGTTTCAGGATATACTGGCGGTCTTTGGACACATCCCATGGATAATGGGGGATTCGTGTACTTAATACGACCAACACTTTGCATTATTTATTTGTTTACATATTTATGAATAAGAACTCTTGTCATAGTTCGCTAAATGGAAGCATCAAAACAGGCAGTGATAAATAAACACGTCTTCATCCTTGCTCCAAGACATACGGCTGTTCTCTTGGGCTGTGAGGCCTACAGGCCCTGGGTTGGCCAACCCAGTCAGACTGCAGAGCCTTGGGTGGAAGCCCACCATTTAACTTTATTGATGGTCTTCCTCCATCCCTTCCATACTCTCCTACCCCTGGTGATTAAGTCAGGAGGCTTATGGCCACCTACATGAGTGACACAGGACTTTGTACAGCTCAGGGCCCATGGGGTGCCGGCTCCCCACCCATGCTGCCCACAGGTAGTCCTGTGACTCTCTGTAAGGTCAGCCACCTCCTGCTGTCTGTCGGCTTTGTTCCTTCCCTCATCAGCACCACTTATCAAGTTTAAACTCTAATTACACTTATCTGTGCTGAAAATTGGCCATGATCACCACTTAAACTCCTCCTAATTATAAGAAATACTTCCTTAGCTAACCGCAGGGGCTGTTTTCCCTGCTATCACAACAGATCTGATGGGCTCATTGCTTCTCCAAGCTCAGCCCCTTTTTTCCTTTGCCTTTGGACCCTCTAGGGGTGAGCAAGGTGGTGACAGTGGACGTAAAGGGGAACTGGCAGCGCTGGCTGAAGGTGCGGGACCTCACAAAAGGAGTGACCTATTTCTTCCGCGTCCAAGCACGGACCATTACCTATGGACCTGAGCTCCAAGCCAATGTCACCGCTGGGCCAGCGGAAGGTAAGTGGGGCTCCGCAGGCAGAAGGCTGAGTGTGAATTGAAATTTCAGTTCCACCTGCTGGTCTGTCCTGCTGGGGGTTTTCTGCCATCTCAGCAGAGATGTTTTGGTCTGCAGAGCTGGGGATGCTGAGGCAGCATGAAAGTCTGGTGATATCGCAAACTTCATCAGGTGGATTGTCATGTATAGGTGAACAAGTTCTTAGACCTTAAGCATAGAAATGTTTTGTTTTCTGGGGAAACCAAAGAAAATAAGTGAATTCAACTTTTTAATTTTTATTTATTTATTGGTACTAGGGATTGAACCCAGAGGAACTCTACCACTGAGCCACATCCCCAGCCCTTTTTATTTTTTATTTTGAGACCTTCTTGCTAAGTTGCTTAGAACCTCACTGAGTTACTGAGGCTGACCTCAAATTTGTAATCTTCCAGCCGTGGACTCCTCAGTTGCTGGGATTACCAATGTGTACCACCATGCCTGACATTAATTCAATTTTTGAAATAAACACAATTAAAAGTTTTCACATGTCATAAAGAAGGATCATGTAACGTCCCGCTTAGTAAACTCTTTGACCTGGTTTAGGCACTGGATAGGTATGGCATCAGAGTCAACATTTAGGAAGCACCGCTAAGTGCCGGGCACGCTGCCTGCCTCTCCTCCTTCCATCCTCAGACAGTCTGCAGTTTTCCCATGAGGCCAAGAAGCCACCTGGGAGAACTAGACACATCTCCCCACACCCAGGGAGGAGGAACCCCCAGGGCCCGTGTCTAACCATTCCTTTCTTCCTGCAGGGTCCCCAGGCTCTCCTAGAGACATCTTGGTCACCAAATCTGCCTCTGCACTGACTCTGCAGTGGACAGAGGGCCCTGCAGGCCACACACCCACCACGGGCTACGTCATAGAGGCCAGGCCCTCAGGTAGGGGCTGTGGGGCCTAGTGGGCTGCTCAAGGGAGGGGTTTGCAGCCAAGCTGAAGGCAGACTGGAGGAGTCTGGGTAACAGGGACCCCTTGCCTCTTTCTCTTCTGTGTGTCCCCAGCAGGGTGGGACTGAGGGGCTATGTGCTGGAGGAGGGGCTTACTTCTCGCCCCCTGCTTGGGTCCTCATAACCACAGCTATGTTATTAACCTCCTGGGCATTCAATTCATGATGCTCTAGCCCCATGACTCTGAGGAGAAGGATAATTGTCATTCTCAGAAATAGGTAGGTGAGGCCTGAAGGGCACTTCAGAAATTTCAGCTCATCAGGAAGATTCGGGATGTTTTCAGGGACTCATCTCAGGGGTCTAATGCTGGCAACCTGTGGAAAGAGCTGTGCTCGCGTCTGATAATCGTGCCGATCCTTATTAACAGTGAACCTGGCACATCATCTGCTTCACCTCTGAGGCTTCCAAAAATGAGGTTTGAGACCCATTTCCTGCCCTATCCAACCAAAGAGTTCTCTTCCCCCCTCCTTCCATTCTACTTCATTTTAATCTTGTTGACTTGTGTGTTTTTTTTAATCAGCATATATTGATTAAAATAGAAAAGGGATCCAGTGTGATAATGCCACACAGGTAGACAGTGGACACTGACCACTCATCCCCTCTTCCACCTTCACCCACCTGCCGTGCCCTTCCAGTTCCTGGTACTCACTTTTCTATTTTTAGCTTGATTCTTTGTTTCGTCTTTCTCTGTCTGGCTTATTTCAGTTAACATGCTGTCCTCCTCTTCCACCTCCTTTGCTGCCAGTAGCAGGATTTCTTTCTTCTTTATGGCTGAATACTGCTCCGTAGTGTATAGGTATGCACACCATTTTCTTTATATATTCAGCACCTAGGCTGATTCCATATCTTGGCTATTGTGATGAGTGTTGCAATAAACACAGGCATTCGGGTGTCTCTTTCATAAGCTGGCTTCATTTCCTTTGGCTATATACCCAGGAGTGGGATAGCTGAATTGTATGGTAGTTTTATTATAAGTTTTTCAAGTAACCTCCATACTGTTCTCCATGGAGGTTATACTAATTTACATTCCCACCAATAGTGTATAAGAGTTCCATTCTGCTTTAATAAGAAGGGTGGACATTATCCAGAGTGAATTTCTGATGGGTTGAGTTGAATATTACTGCTGGGAGCTGGAGGTTACCACCAAACGTGGAGAACACTGAGCAGCTTCACCATGACCTTCAGATGATTGTACAGTTAATCAAGAACATCTGAGCATGAAAACAGGTAATGTTCCAGGAATGCATTCGGGAAGGAGCTCTCAAGCCCTCTGCCGGCAGACTAAGCATCAGGAGCCATTTTAGTCTAATATTTTAAAAGGCTATTAGACCAAGAGGAAAGATCCTCAAAGTTACATCCATTACTGTGTCAGAGAAGTTTCTTTCCTCCTCCCCCAACAGCTTGCTTTTAAAAGATTACTAGTTAGACATAACTAGTTTCTAGTTTCTAGAAACTTCCAAAGAGAAATTCTACCTGAAAAGCACCATGAAAAATTCTTTGGCTCTAAATGCATATGTTTAGACCTACTGACCTGATGGTGTGTGCTGAGCAAAACATTCAACCTCTTCTGGAGACAGGTATCCCAAGCTGGTGAAGGATCAGGAGTTACTAGGGACCTTCCATGGCCACCAGGTCTCCCATACCTCTGTCAGCAGGTGGCTCCTGGAACAGCCACCCAGCCCTCCACCATGCAAGAGCACCTTCAAAGCTTGATGAGGACTCTGAGGAATGTCCTAGTAAGGTCTGGGCCTCGGGGGCTGCGGAGGCTGTGAGGTAGCCAGGGACAGGGGCTTCCTTGAATTAGGGACATACTTCAAACATTTCTCTCCCCAATCTAGGGAGAGCATGTGTTCCAAAGGTGGCTTGTGAGTTCTCCTGGCCCACCTTGGGATCTGCTGTGTTGGTTTGAGTGTGTGATGGATTACATTCCCCATCACTGATCTCTGGCACCAGGAAGCTCTTAAGTCACTGGTGTTCTTGACTGCATGGGGTGAGGCCACCCATGTCTCTTATTATTATCATCATCATTTTAAATTGAACCTTCCATTCTGAGCTATCATAGAGTCCCATATAGTCATTCACCCTCAGGTCAGTAGAGTCATGTGTTACAAGCTTGGTCCCCAGTGTGGGGCCCTGTGGAAGCTGAGCAGTGCTACCCTCAGAAAGAGTTAATGTTAGTCTCTCGGAGTGAGTTAGTTTCTGCAAGAATGAACTGTTATAAAAAGCAAGCCTGGCCCTTCTGTACTCTCTGGCTTCCTGTATCACCATGTGATCTTTTCCTCCCACATGTGCTCCGCCATGTTGTCATCTGCCATGTTGTGGTGCAGGGGTCCCTCACCAGGGCTGAGCAGACGCTGGTGCCATGCTCTTGAATTTTCAGCACTGTGAGCCAGAGAAGGCTCTCTTCTTTATAAGGTACCCACTCTGAGGCATTTTGCTATAGAAATAGAAAATGAACTAATGAACAAGATTCATGGATAGAATTAAGGAGATCCATGAACTTGAAAGGTGGGGGAAACACATTTTAATCAACATCTAACTGAAATTTAGCATTTCTGTCAGTTATGAATGGAGGTACATTAGTTTGTTAGGATTGTACTAAAGTACCACAAACAGGGCGGCTTAGACAACAGGAGCATATTATCTCGCACCTCCAAAGGAGGATGTCCAATCAGGTGTTGGCAGGACTGGTTGCTTCTCAGGTCTTGAGGAAGGCTCTGTCCTCTGCTTTTCTCCTACCTTCTGGTAGTCACTGGCAATCCTGGGGGCTCCTTAGCTCAGAGATGCGTCAGCCATCTTTGTCTTCCTTTTCACAGGGCCTTCTCCTCATATGTGTGTCCCCGTCCAAACTTCCCCTTTCTAGAAGAACTCTGGTCAATATTGAGTCAGGGACTTGCCCCACTGCAAACTCATGTTGACCTAATATGTTTGTGGTGATCCTGTTTCCCAATAAGGCCATCCTGAGGTATCGAGGTCATGACTTTGACTTGAATTTGTGGTTTGGGGGAGGCATAGTTCAACAGGTAGTGGCAGGTGAGCAACCTCCTGAGTCGCAGCAGGACCCCGACACTATCACAGGACACCCAGTGTTCACAGAATCATTTCACTCCCCATAACTTTGAAATTATAGCTGTTGGTTGACTCTGCTAAGCCTTCTTAATCAATGAGTTTGTGAAGAAGCATAGACTCCCGAGTTGCCCTGGGACAACGGTGGTCTCAGGTCATCTAAATCCAGCTTCCAAAGAGTCACATAGCTAAACAAGCAATGCAAAGAAAATACCCACAGTCCACCCCCAGCACTAGCCAGGAGACAGAGGTCACCAGGAGCTTCCAATGCCTCTAGGTAACTGACACATTACCCATGTCATTGGTTTCCTTTTTAACTTTAAGCAACTAAAGCTATTCTGTAAAGATATCCTTAAGAGTCAAAGGAGTACACAGAACCAAGGACAGGTTAAGAATCCTGCACTAGAAAACCAGAGTCCTGCTAATGATTGCCTCCCCACCAAGCACTATCTCCTTGCTGTAGAAGACTCCCAGTGGCCACCTGGCCCTACAAGGGCTCCAGAGATGTTCTGTCCTCAACTGCATCATGACGACATCCTGGCTATTTTGCCAAATGTTACCCCTGGGGAAGCTGGATATGTGGGACCCCTCTGTATTATTTCTTATAACAACATGGGACTCTCCAAGGACCTCAGAATGGAAAGTTCAATCTAAAATGATGATTATAATAATAAGAGATGTGAATGGCCTCACGCTGTTCAGTCAAGAGCACCAGTGTCTCTTTGAAAAGAACTTCCCTGTGTCAGAGATCAGTGGTGGGGGATATAACACATCACCAGATGCCTGGCCTCGGCATCTCCGCTCTTGTGACCCCACCATGACACTTCCCCCCAAATGGTGAAGTCTTGGTTCTCACACTTGCCTGGGGAGCCATTTAATTTCTCCTCAAGTTGCAGGTGCTCATTGTCCGCCCTCATTCTGGAAGCAGGATGCCTGCAGGCTAGATGCAGCTTCCAGGCCTGGGGAAAGCAGAGTGCAGGAGAACTAATTAGCTTGTTGCTCAGACTTCACGCTGGGCCCCAGCCTCGTGCAGAAGCCTCTGATGTCAGCTGGAGGTCTTGCTCAGTGGGGCTTGTGCCAGGATATGAAATGGACCCAAGGGGACCAAGACATGACAAGAAACTGACCTGGAAGACACCATCTTTCTCAATGAACACTAAAGATGTGCTTCCTCTTCTGTTTTGTTACTGGGCATTTGAAAGCAGGTTGCCTGTGATTTCCCCTTTCGGATCATTAACTGAACCTGAGTGAGCTTCTGAGCCTGAGGTTTTTTCCTTGAAAGTTGTGAAAGACGCCCCTCCCTCTGCGACTCAGGCCAGCAGCATCTCAGGGTGGAGCATGAGGCTTTATGGATTGCCAGTGTTTAAACACCTCGCTGGTGCCCGGGGGCCCTGGGTCTCAGCTGTCATCGATTTCAGGCCTCATTACACAAAACATTAAATGCTGTATCTTCTCATTTTGTCCACCAAAGCTCTCCACTGAGACATTCTCTAGGCAGGGAGTGGTCTGTGAAGGCACTGCAGGCCCTGGTTTTATTAGGAGGGGACATGGACAGAGCCCTCCTGCTGGCATCTGGGAAGACCGAAGTCCTTTGTGATAGGAGCCCCTGGGACCCAGGTGGCCTGCTCGGCCTGATGTCTCCCCCCAGCTACATCTTTGCTTGCCCCATGGACATAAAAAGTTTACCAGCTCTGCGGCTGCTGCTCAGGGGGTGACCCGCGGCCCAGACAGCCTGGGCAGATGGCCGTCAGCCTCTCCCTCCTCTGTCCATATCCTCTCACTCACCCTTGCAAATTCCCAAGAGGTCTCCATATCGCTGAGACACAAATTGAACAGCAACTATTGAAACTAGCATCAGGCTGGGACAC